GATAACAAAATCGATCATTATATCGGTAAGTTCCTAAAATATCGACAGCAAAATCAGTAACAATATCGATAACAAAATCGATAAAAAAGTGATAACAATATCGATAGCAAAATCGTTAACACAATCAAGAAAACTTTCGATAACAAAACGGATAAATAATCGATAGTAAAATCGATAACAAAATCGATAACAAAACCGATAAAAATATCGATGACAAAATCTATTACAATATCGAAAACAAAATCGATAACGAAACCAAACAGATCCACATTAACTGCAATCCACATATGTACGTATATATGTATTTACATATGTACATACGCTGCGGTTAGGTTATAAATGGCGCGCCATCTGCTTATCAAACGCCGCATTACATACGCATACATACTTTTTTTGTCCTTCTCTGACTTCCAATGCATGCACGTGTTTGCAAAATAATGACGAAGTGATTTTATATGGAAAATCATTTATGCCCATATATTTGAATAAAATAAACATATAAAGAAGATATCAACCAATACTTCCCATATACCAAACGAAAGGAAAACTCTTGAATTTTTGATTAGAGAACACAAAAACAAAATCCATCGAGCGGTTTTCGAGCATTTTGGTAATGAAAAAAATTTTCAATATTTGTTGAATTTATATAAAATTTGTACGCGATAATATTTCCACTGCTCCAAAGAACCTATATCCCCAAATTAAGGCAATGTTTATCGTTGTTTTTACGACAGAAACCGAATTGGTTACTTACAAAAATGAATCTGTCGATAGGTTTAGAACTTTATCTTTGAAACGCTATACTTTTCTTTGAAATCGCTTCATTAGTTCTCGTGCAGTAATCATTTTCGTGAAGCTCTAAAAATTGCAACTACAACATTTCAGCATAGCCCCCATATCGTAAGGTAAGACGTATTCTACGTCAAAATTAGTTACGTTTCAGCAGAAGATTTTCCGGATAGTTAATTTGTACCGTATAAGTATCGTTATGTGTTAAGTTAGAAAACCTCTCCAAGGCTTCTAAAACCAGAAAAACTGTCGAATTTCGACAGTAACTGGCACTCTAGTCTATATATTAATACGCTAACATAAATTTTGTCTCCGTTCGTTTGGCGATTCTACCGAACCGATTTCAAAACCAAGAACACCGTTGGAAAGGCATTTTTCCGTAGATAGCAGAGTAGTAGCAGAGTTTTTATGGGTCACAATTGGTTGAAAATTGCGGCCAAAACCGTCGTTTAAACATTTCCGTATTTGTGTATAGATGTTGCTGCAACACGTTTAATTTGCGTTTTTCGCTTGTTGTTTCACTTCGCATTTGAAATTAAGCGTTAAAATAAAGACAAATATGAAGATACCGAAATAAATGATAACGATGAAGACAAGAAAGAGAAGGCAAAAGTGAAGACAAAGACCAAAATGGAGACAGTGAGAAATACATAAGAGTTAGGGTAACTGAAAGGGTAAGCAAGTGTATTGAATTTTCGAAGTGAAACTTCTTTTTCGGCGATTCGTTGGTTGGGAGTAAATGGGCAATGATGCACACTGAAATAGTTGCAACGGAAACAAGTGCTTATAATATATGTGGTATTAATTTAACAAAAAAGTGCAAATAAGGGGTTTAAGAATAAGACTGAGATTTAGCCCATTAAAGTAAGGAAAGTAAAGCTTAGTACGTACATATACGAAGAAAAGGTAAAGGTAAATATGCGTAAATATAAAGAATAAAACGACGATCAAGGTTAATTTAAACACTGTAAGGTAAAGGTGAAGGGGAATATGCAAAAATAAAGATAAATATGAAGAAAAATTTTAGGATGATACTTGATTGTTATCGATGTAATAATCGATATTGCTAGCGATATAATAATCGATATTGTTATCGAAATAATAATGGATATTTCTATCAATAAAACCGATATTGTTATCGATATTATTATCGATAATGTTATAAATATTGTTATCGGTGTAATAGTCGATATTGTTATCGATATATTTAACAATAAATAAATCGATTTTGGAATCGTCATGTTTTGCGATATATTTATTGATATTTTTATTGGTATATTTATCGACAAAGTTATCGACAGCGTTATCGTTTTAATGTTCGACACTTGACATGTAATCACATTATATAATATGACATGACATCACATGACATGACATCACATAACATGATATCACATAATACGATATCACATGGCATGTCATCAAATGGTATGACATGACTTCACATGATATAACATCATATAACATGACATCACATGATTTGACATCAAATGACATCGCGTTACATGGAAAAATATTTGTTTCTGTATCGATTAACATAGTTACTGAAAGCATGCGCATTGTTTTCTTTCAAAATTAAATTGTAAAAAACTAATAACAAGCTGTGGGAGGATTCCCCATTCTTACCCTCTCGACGGGCGTGGGTAGGGATAAATATAGAAAAAAGATAAAATATAACCTTGAGCTTATAAAATTATATTAACTACCCTGTCGTTTTATTCACAATTTCTAAATAAGTAACGTAAGTTCCGCACCTTCAATGTGGCCCAGGTGCACTTACTTTTTCGAAAGGAATTGAAATAAATTCTGCTATAAAAAAATTTAGTTATCGAAAATTATCAAGTTACCGAAATTTATCGAATCATCGAAGTTCATAGTTATCGAAATTTATCGAGTTANACCTTCAATGTGGCCCAGGTGCACTTACTTTTTCGAAAGGAATTGAAATAAATTCTGCTATAAAAAAATTTAGTTATCGAAAATTATCAAGTTACCGAAATTTATCGAATCATCGAAGTTCATAGTTATCGAAATTTATCGAGTTATCCACATTTATTGAGTTATAACAACGTGTAAAATTATTGAAATCGTGTTGTCAAAATTTATAGACATACAAAATTAGTTGTCCAAATTTTCGGATAGATATCAATCTTTAAAAATGTATGGGTTAGCGAAATTTGTCAAGTTAATGAAATTTATACTGTTATCGATATTTACTGATGTGCTTAGGGATTTTAGTGTTCACGAAATTCATTGGAATGTGTAGGTTATATTCCCAGTCCTGCCAACGACCTTCAACGATATAAAAAATTTAAGTTAAGGTTTAGTCCGAAAGCAGGAGATTCTCCGGCAAGTAATTTTGTACATTATAAATTAAACCATGGGCTAAATTATAAAACCTTTCCAAGGGTCTTAAAAAACTAGCAGAGCTGTCGGATTCGACAGTGGTTTAAATAGCCCAATAACTTTAGATTTTCTCAACGAAAAAATTCCGGGAAGAAATTTTTTGACGCAATTAGGTGTCTCCTGTTTAGGTGAACACAAAATGAAAATTTTTTCCCCAATTGCGATATGGGAAATGTTTGCCATTTTGGATTTAGTGCTTTTTACGATTAGCGTCCGAAATTTGAATTAGAATTTTACAACGAAAAAATTCCGGGAAGAAATTTTTTGACGCATTTAGGTGTCTCCTGTTTAGGTGAATACAAAATGAAAATTTTTCCCCCAATTGCGATATGGGAAATGTCCCCCATCTTGGATTTTGTTTTTTTTTATGATTTGATATGGGAAATTTCCGCCATCTTGGATTTTATGTTTTTTACGATTTGCGCGCTAATTTTGCATTTCTCGCGAAAAAAAGGTGGAGAACAAATTTGTAGAGAACTCGATTCGCTACAATTTTCATATGCCTATCATTTTTAAGCAATTATTTATTGCTAATAATATGCAAAAAATTCGCAAAATTGGGTAAGTGGCGCGGTTTTCCGAATTTTGAGCAATTTCTATTTGAAATAAGTGGCACATTTAAATGGCAAAGTAGTAGAGGACAAAATTTCTAATATTATTAGCAATAAATAACTGTTTAAAAAAATTTATAGGCACATGAAAATTGTAGGGAATCGAGTTCTCTACAAATTTGTTCTCCACCTTTTTTTCGCGAGAAATGCAAAATTAGCGCGCAAATCGTAAAAAACATAAAATCCAAGATGGCGGAAATTTCCCATATCAAATCATAAAAAAAAACAAAATCCAAGATGGGGGACATTTCCCATATCGCAATTGGGGGAAAAATTTTCATTTTGTATTCACCTAAACAGGAGACACCAAACTGCGTCAAAAAATTTCTTCCTGGAATTTTTTCGTNAAAATCCAAGAAGGCGGACACTTCCCATATCGCAATTGGGGGAAAAATTTTCATTTTGTGTTCACCTAAACAGGAGACACCTAACTGCGTCAAAAAATTTCTTCCCGGAATTTTTT